CTACCACCTCCCTCCCTCCTCCCTCCTCCCTACTACTACCTACCTACCTACTACTCCCTCCTCCATCTCCTCCCTCCTCCCTCCTCCTCCTCCCTCCCTACCTACCTACTTACCTACCTACTACCTACCTACCCACAGCATAATCACAATTCAACTAAAAAAAATAAGCAACAGAAAGCCAGAACACACACAAAAGAGAGAAGAATAAAGAATATAAAAAGCAAAACCAAAATACAAAAGAAAGGCGAGAGAAGAAAGAATATTAAAAAATAGTCAGAAAAATAGAGAATGAAGAATTTAAAAAAGAGACTAAACACAAAGAAAGGAGAGAAAAGAATAAAGAATTTAAAAAAGACAAAAACACAAAGAAAGAGAGAGAGAATTGTAAAATTAAAAAGAAACAAGACAAAAACACAAAACAAAGGCGAGAGAAGAAAGAAGAATTAAAAGAGAGAGGGAGGGGAGAGGAGAGGTAGAGGGAGAGGTAGAGGAGAGAAGAGGGAGAGGAGGGAGGGAGGGAGGGAGGGAGGGAGGGAGGAGGGAGGGAGGGAGGGAGGGAGAGGGAGGGGAGAGAGGAGAGAGGGAGAGAGGGAGAGAGGGAAGAGAGAGAGAGAGAGAGAGAGAGAGAGAGAGAGAGAGAGAGAGAGAGAGAGAGAGAGAGAGAGAGAGAGAGAGAGAGAGAGAGAGAGAGAGAGAGAGAGAGAGAAGAGAAGAGAGAGAAGAGAGAAGAGAGAAAGAGAAGAGAAAAGAGAAACACAGATCCCACACGCCTTCCCCTCGGCCGCCCTCGCCCCCTCGCACTTCCTCTGACGCAACGCCTGACTCTTGGCACCTTTTAGTGGCACTGTGACGTTTCCGCTTTCGTGGTAAGTCACTCCTCGGGGGCTTTCGAACGTCGCTCTCCGGCACTATCGCGGAACGGGAGTCTGACGCAGGAACCGATCGTCGAATTGGCTCCTGTAAATCTATAGGCAGACAGACAGACAGACCAGGCAGACGCGCGCGTGCACACCACCACACACACACACACACACACACACACACACAAACACACACACACACACACACACACACACACACACACACACACACACACACAGATAGGCATATAGATAGGTAGAGAGGCAGGCAATACAGACAAATAGGTATATAGATATATAGATGAATAGATAGACAGAAAAACAGACACGACAAAGACTGACATAGAATGAGAACCAAACCCCAAATACTCTTCAACACCTCTCACCCTCCCCTTCGTCCCGCCCACGCCAACCCCCTCCCCGCCCCCACCCAATCCCCTCAACCCGATCTCTGCCATTCATCTCCGAGCGCCACAAGACGGAGGGGGTTGCGTACGTACTGTGGCAAATTGCCATATGAATCACGTTTCCCCTTTCCTCGCCTCTCGCCTCTCCTCTCCTCTCTTCTACCTCCCTCCCCCCTCTCTCTCCTCTCTTCTACCTCCTCCTCCCTCCTCTCCTCTCCTCTCTTCTACTCCCCTCCCTCCCCTCTCTCCTCTCCTCTCTCTCCCTCCTCCTCCCTCCCCTCCCCTCCTCCTTCCTCCCTCCTCTCTTCCCTTCTCCCTCCCTCCCCTCCTCCCCTTCCCTATCCGCATTCCATCCAACACACAGGAGGGCCAGAGGCACAAGCACGCACACAATATCTATTCACCTGATGCCGATTCCTTCGCTCATCCAATACATGCATACATACTCGTACATGCTTGCATATACGTGCATGAATACAAACATCAAATACCGATCCATCCATCCACCCACCTATCTATATATCTATATCACAAATATATAGATTGATATAAGATGGATGGATAGATAGATAGATAGATAGATGGATGATAGATCAGACAGACAGACGACAGACAGACAACAGACAGACAGACAGACAGACAGACAGACAGCAGACAGATAGATAGATAGATAGATAGATAGATAGATAGATAGATAGATAGATAGATAGATAGATAGATAGATAGATAGATAGATATAGATAGATAGATATAGATAGTAGATAGATAGATTAGATAGATATGTAGATAGATAGACAGACAGACAGAAGACAGACCACAGACAGACAGACAGATAGATAGATAGATAGATAGATAGATAGATAGATAGATAGATAGATAGATAGATAGATAGATAGATAGATAGATAGATAGATAGATAGATAGATAGATAGATAGACAGACAGATAGATAGATGATAGATCGATAGATAGATAGATAGATAGATAGTAGATTTAGATAGATAGATAGAGATAGATAGATAGATAGATAGATAGATAGATAGATAGATGAGATAGATAATAGATAGATAGATAGATAGATGATAGATAGATAGATAGATAGATACGATGGGATGGTGGATGGATGGATTGGATGGATGGATGGATGGATGGATGGATGATGGATGGATGGATGGATGGATAGATAGATTAGATTAGATAGATGATAGATAGATGATAGATTGGATGAATTAGATAGATGGATATATAGATAGAGTGACAGGTAGATACATACATACATACATATCATATATATATATATATATATATATATATATATATATATATTATATATATAATGTAAAATTGAATATGCATATCAATATTATATCTTTATCTATATCTCTCTATCTATTCTATCTATTATTCATCTACCTATTAAATCTACCGATGTATCTATCTACGCGTGTGCATGCGTGCATGTACGTGTATATCCTTGACAAACAGCTTCAAGAACTACAGGACAAAGAGGACAAACCGCTGCGGCGCGCTGTCCCGAAGCCAGCAGCGCTCCAGCTGGCCACACTCGGCCCGAGAGGCGCGACGCATTCGGATAATCACCGCCATAAACATGTAATGAAACCCGTTTATGGCTTATCACAAGACTGTTGCCCTGTAAACATATCATCCCCATGCCCCCCTCCCCCCCCTGTCCCCCTGCCCCCTTCCCATGTCCCCCTCCCCTTCATTCTCCGTCTCACCTTCCTTATTCTCATCATTTACTTTGGGAGGGCTGATACTTTGGTCAAAGACAGGGAGACGAATGCTAAGAAGAGAGAGAGAGAGAGAGAGAGAGAGAGAGAGAGAGAGAGAGAGAGAAGAGAGAGAGAGAGAGAGAGAGAGAGAGAGAGAGAGAGAGAAGAGGAGAATTATGATATCGTAAATCATCTGTGCGGTCGGCGAGAAATCTGTTTCATCTACGAAATTATCAATGAATGTTCTTGTAGAAAAATAATACCTCTTTATCCCTTGTAATCTCTGAAGCAAACGTTATTAACAGATAAAGACAACTTTTAAATTATGTAAAAGAAAATAATAGTAATACATGTACTACTACAACTAGGTATTTAGATTATTTCTATATTTTCATTCTTCTCATCATTACCTTCAATAACCTTAGGATACAAGCAAAGATAATGATAATGATAATGACAGTAATGGTGATAATGATTATGACAGTAATGATGACAATGATAACAACAGTAATGATAATGATAGCGATGATTATAATGATAATGATGATAATGAAAGTGGTGGTATTGATCAAGGTCTACTTAAGTTATAGAGACCTTGGTATTGATAACAGCTGCTTGTTATTTAAACCTCGGAAATATGGCCTTATCTCCCTCTACCTCTTGATCACGGGCGAGCGACATCCTGTGGCGACGTTCATATAAAGAGACGAAGGGACGGATGGACAGGGAGGGAGGGAGGGAGGAAGGGAGGAATGAAGAGGAGGGAGGAATATAGAGGAGAGAGAGAAGAGAGAGAGAGAAGAGAGAGAGAGAGAGAGAGAGAGAGAGAGAGAGAGAGAGAGAGAGAGAGAGAGAGAGAGAGAGAAGAGAGAGAGAGAGAGAGAGAGAGAGAGAAGAGAGAGAAGGGAAAGAGAGAGAGAGAAGAGAGAGAGAGAGAGAGGAGAGGGAAAGAGAAAGAGAGAGAGAGAGAAAGAGAGAGAGAGTGGGAAAGAGAAAGAGAGAGAGGGAAAAGAGAGAAAGAAAAGAGAAAGAGAGAGAGAGAGAGAGAGAGAGAGAGAGAGAGAGAGAGGAGAGGGAAGAGAGAGAGAGGGGGAGCGAGACAGAGAGGGAGAGAGACAGAGAGAGAGAGAGAGACAGAGAGAGAGAGAGAGAGAGAGAGAGGAGAGAGAGAGAGAGAGAGAGAGAGAGAGAGAAGAGAGAGAGAGAGAGAGAGAGAGAGAGAGAGAGAGAGAGAGAGAGAGAGAGAGAGAGAGAAGAGAAGAGAGAGAGAGAGGAGAAGGAGAAGGAGAAGGAAAGAGAGGAGAGAAGGAGAAGAGAGAGAGAGAGAGAGAGAGAGAGAGAGAGAGAGAGAGAGAGAGAGAGAGAAGAGAGAGAGAGAGAGAGAGAGAGAGAGAGAGAGAGAGAAGAAGAGAGAGAAAGAAGGAAGAAGAGGGAGAATAAGGAAGGCGGAAGGAATTGAGAGGGGGAAGGACAGTAAAATAGATCCATGCATACATAGACAGACAGACAAGTTGAAGCATAGATATATAAAAAAAGAAACATATGTAAACAGATACCTACAGTACCAAGATACACACGTAAACAGCATGCCTTGAACACACACACATACACATACAACCGGAACACAAACACACAAGACAACCATTACCTAAAAATACAGAGCGAGAACCAGGCAGAAACACACACTAAAAATACAAACAAACACACACACACACACACACACACACACACACACACAAACACACACCACAACACAGACCACAAGCACCGCATATCACAGAAGCGGATATGGTACACGGAGTTACGACGCTGAGTGACGTAGAAAACGGGTCTGGGTAGATTCATTATATTAGGTCGGGTTACAAAGGCAACAGGACGGACGGAATACCTCGCCGCCCGCAGACACGCAGCCGCGGGACCTGGGCGTGATGGGCGCACTAATTTTTTAAATCAAAATCGACGAGAATTCACATTTTTTGATGACGAAAAGTAATTTGACGAATACTTCACTCATCGGATAATGGTCGAAATTCTAATGCCAGGGAGTCAATCCCCTCTTTTCATAAATCCAATTTTTTCACAAAGATAACTGATGTACATAAATAAACAGATAGAGAGAGATAGGGATAGGGATGGGGGAGATAGAGGGAGAGACGAATAGAACTGAATAGAGTATAACCAAATAAAATAGAAGTGAAGAAAAGAGAGGAGATTAAAGAATTAAAAAAAAATAAAAGAAGAGAGAGAGAGAGAAAGTAAAATACCTGCTAGTCCTTGAAAAAAAAATGAAAGCAAAAAAAAAAAAAAAAAAAAAAAAAAAAAAACGCACAGAAACGAAGAAAGCGGCCAAAACAACTTAATATTCCCAAACAACTCGCTCACTCAACACGCACGCTGGGGTCACGTCTGCGAAACGGCAGCGTGAAGCTTTTGTATGTGTTCTTGGCTACCGGTTCCTCGTCACAACGCTGTGCATTTTGTAACTTTCATTTCTTACGTAAGGCGGCGCAGCGCAGGAGAGAAAAAATAGCTCGAAGGAGACAAACACGAACTCGCAGCGTCCCTTTCCCAGTCTCTCTCTTTCTCTCTCTCTCTCTCGTTGTTGCGACACAGACACACGCAGCACAGAGACAGGCAGATACAAACACAGACACACAAAGAGGGAAGAGAGAGAGAGAGAGAGAGAGAGAGAGAGAGAGAGAGAGAGAGAGAGAGAGAGAGAGAGAGAGAGAGAGAGAGAGAGAGAGAGAGAGGAGAAAGAAAGAAAGAGAGAGAGAAAGAGAGAGAGAGAGAGAGAGAGAGAGAGAGAGAGAGAGAGAGAGAGAGAGAGAGAACCAGGAAACGAGAGACAAACAAACAAAAACAATTAACGATAAAAAAATGAATAATAAAACCATCCACAAACAAACAGAAAACCGTAACACCCCATCCCAACCCCTCCAACTCACCCAAAAAAAAAAACGCAAGGACGATAACGAAGAGCGAGACAACCTCCCCTCCTCCTCACCACCTCCACCCCCACTCACTCCCTCCACCTCTCCTCCACCTCCACCTCCTCCTCTATCTCCTCCTCCTACTTATCTCCTCCTCCCCTCCTCCTCCTCCACCCCACCTCCACCTCCACCACCTCCATCTCCACCTCCACCCTCCGCCTCCGCCTCCACCTCCGCCTCCACTCCTCCTCCGCTTCCGCCTCCACCTCCATCTCATCCTCCACCTCCATCTCCTCCTCCACCACCTCCTCCACCACCTCCGCTCCACCACCTCCTCACCACCTCCACCTCCACCACCTCCACCTCCACTCCACCACCTCCACCTCATCCTCCACTCTCCACCACCTCCACCTCCACCACCACCACCTCCACCACCTCCATCTCCACTTCCACCTCTACACCCTCCACCACACCACCTCCACCACCTCCACTCCCACCTCCATCCTCCTCTCACCCACCTCTCCACCTCCACCTCCACCTCCTCTCTACCTCCACCTCCACCTCCTCCTCTACCCTCCACCACCTCCACCTCCTCCTCACCTCCACCACCTCCACCACCTCCTCCTCTACCTCCACCACCTCCACCTCCACCTCCTCCACCTCCTCTCTACCTCCACCACCTCCACCTCCACCTCCTCCACCACCTCCTCCTCCACCTCCACCACCTCCACCTCCTCCACCACCTCCGCCTCCACCTCACCTCCACTCCTCCACCACCTCCACCTCTCC